ATTATCTGGTCCAATTATGTCTTGACTACATTCTGAGAAAAGTATTGAAATACCCAGTGAGTCTTTCTTTTTCTTTATGTTTTTAAATATGTAGCATAAATTGAAAATATAATTTTTAAATGTATAAATATATAAAATTTCTATAAGGAACAAGTTTTATTTTGGTTATTAGAAAAACAAGGTTAATATGAAAACATTTACTTAGAAGTTCTATATTTGAAGTTTAAATTTTATTTATTTAAAATAGGTTTCCAGGGAAAATGTGAGGAAATAAATACAACCTTTGTTTTGAAGTTCAAAAAGTTTCTCTTATTCTATTTGCTTAAAACCTTTTTGTCATACTTGCACCAATGTTTAGCTTCTGGACATGACTTAGAATCTGTGTTCAGATCAGAAAAATTGAGCTGAGTTCTTTGGTTTGCTAAATCTCAGTGCAGCTACATCTAGCATTGGTTGATTTGGTTTGCTTTCAGGACACAGCTAAATGATATTACTGCAAGATAATACTGAGCTAATACCTCTACTTGTTTAGTTTGTAGTCAGGAACTATTGTCATGCATTCTTAAGGAATTTGTTTATCTCTTTGATGAAAGGTTCAATAATGGTTATCCTTCACTGACCACTTGCTATGTGCCAGATGTTTTACATATATTAATTTATTTAATTCTCACAATAATAACAAGAGATTGATATTAACCTCCATTTTACAGACAAGGAAACTGAAATTTAGAAAAGTCGATTAACTTGACCCACATCTTCTAATAACTGACAGAGTTGGAGTGAGAATCAAATCTAGCTGACACTGAAGCTACCTGCCACTTAACTATGGCTTCTCCCATCACTTTTTCAAGAGTGTCCTGTAAAAGGGAGACATAATAATAGAATGAGAACACTTGGAGAAGAGCAGGATAGAATCACTGAGATGGGAATTATCTTAGGGAGTCTGAGGCATGTATGACTGCCTGCAGTCCGCAGAACAGCCACTGAGCAGTAGGAAAAGGTTTGCAGTGGGAACAGGACTATAGGTTGGCTCCCAGGCCCCCTGCCTCTGCATCCCCAACCATCACCATCACCCCAGATAACCACAGAGCACGAAGAGTGGGGCACTAAGGCACATGGGAATTGGCAAGGTGATACTGAACAGAAGCATGGTAGAAGACCCACTCTGGAAGAAGAGACCAGAATTCAAAGGTGAAAAGGAACTAGTAAAGCAAAAGATGACCCCAAAACAACTTCTCTTAAAGTTAGGGGGCTTTGAGAGAAACAGTAATTCCTAACCACTCCATCGGAATTGGGATTAAAGGGTTCCTAGCAGGAGCTCTCTTTGAAAAGAAATCTGGCTGGAGAGAAGCCAGGAGGAGTGACTGCTGCAAGCTGTGGCCCCACTTACAGCACCATCATCTTGGTTGGCAAACTCTTAATAGTTAGAGTCTCCAATGTAGTCTGACCTGGATTTGATCCTTTTAGTGCATTCTTCTCTCATGTGGGTATAGTCACAGTTCCTGCTGTAAATGGAAAAGTTTAGAAGACAGTGAGGTCTATACACTCAGACTCATGTCAGTATTGACAAATGCCCATCCTCAGAGCAGCTTTACAAATGTATTTCTTCTGGGGTTATGGAATCATTGCTTATCTTTGTCTCGTTTCTATTTATTTTCCAATGTACAAGTCAGCATGTTGAATTCATTGTAACTAACTTGTGCATGTATGCTGAAAGATTGGATTACTAAGTGTATGTTTTAAGCAAATTATGTAAAATTAGCTAAGAGCTAAGCCACTCAGCCACTTGTAGAGGCTAACAAGTATATGATTAATATTGAACAAAAGATTTTTATTTGAGACCCTGGAGAAAAAGCATGTTTATTTTTTTTAAATGTCTGTGAGTTGGTGGATCTTTAAATATTTAATGTTTTGAAAGAATCTTTGAGGAAATTTTTAAAATAAAATTTTTTAAATAAAAAATACAAAGGATAACATAACATATCCATGTACCTACCACCTAGAATTACAATTTGTAACATTTGTGACATAATCTTTAAGATTTTTTTTAATTAAAAAAACACTGTAGACAAAAATGAAATTCTATTTGACATACTACCCCCAGTCCCATTCTCTTCCCCCATCTGTCTAATAACCTCTATGATGAAATTAGTGGATATCTTTCCAGTCTCTTTTGAATACTTTTATATGTGTATATATAAACATGTGTTTGTATATAAATACAGATATATGTTATTTATGTTTATATACACGTGCATGTATCTGTGAGCAATGTTTCGTGGGTGCAATTTAAAAACATATATACAACGTATAGTAGGTTACATTTATTGAGTGATTACCACGTGCCTGGAACTGTACCATCTTCATTCAGTGATCCTATGTAATAGGCATTATTTTTATTATCTCCTTTTTTAGGAAATAGAGGCACATAGAGAGAGAGAGCTCTTGTGCAGGGTCACACAGCTATAAGCAGAAGGGCTGAGAATTAATTCTGCAATTGAGCTTTGGAGGCTTCAGCAGTCCCCAACCTACCTTTTTGGCACCAGGGTCTGGAAGACAATTTTTCCACCGATGGAGGGGTGGAGGAGGTGGGGTTGAGGAGGGAGGAGGTAGAGCTCAGGTGGTGATGCGAGCAAGCGATGGGGAGCAGCTGTAAATACAGATGAAGGAAGCTCCACTGCCCACCTCCTGCAGTGCCCACTCTTCCTAAGTTTCATGGAAGACAGTTTTTCTACAGGGGCTGGGGGTGAGCGAGTGGAGGGGGTTGTGGCAAGTGGTGGAGCTCTGCAGCCCGGTCCATGGTCCGGGGATTGGGGACCACAGTAGATGGCCTCTTCACTGTGTCACTCTGCAGGATTCCTCACTCTCTCAATATCGTGTTTCTGATATCTGGGATTGTTGACTTCATAGATCTAGGTCATTCTTTCACACGGTTATATCATATTCATATTGTGTATTGAATGAATATAATACATAAGCAGCATTGAACATTACATGATAAGACCTTAACATTACATGTTAAGACCTATAAAATGGGAATAATAAAAGTTTCTGTCTCACGGGGTTGTTGCGAAAATTAAATGGTTTAATTCAAATAAAGCCAGTAGAACAGTACCTGGGCCAGATTAAGTTACCCAATAAAAGTCATTATCATCAGGTTATTTCTAGTTTTTCACTATTGCTTATATTGCCACAGTGAAAGCCCTGTGTCTGTGTATAAAGTTTCTTTTAGGTATCTCCCTGCAAGAGGAATCGATGGCTCATGGGGTGTGCATGTTTTCAGTTTTGTGTGATGTTGCCAAAGCCAGCTGTACCAATTTATACTCCCTATTGCTCTGTGTGGCAGTTCTCATTTCCCCACGTCCTCACGAATAATAGCTATTGCCTGACTATTAGATTTGCTGACTTGATGGGTAAGAAATAGTATCAGGTTGTTGAATTGGTGAATTTTTAATAATAGCTTTATCGCAAGAGAATTTGCAAACTGTAAAATTCACCCTTTTAAAGTGTACATTTTAGTACTTTAGTACTCTTCATTACACAGTAATTTTTAGTATATTCACAAGGATATGCAACCATCACCACTATCCAATTTTAGAAAAAGTCCCTTAAGCATTAGTAGTCACTCCCCATTTTCCTCAGCCCAGCTCATGGCATTGCTAATCTACTTTCTGTCTCTATGAATTTGCCCGTTCTGGACATCTCATATAAATGGAATCATATGTGTTCTTGTCCCGGCTTCTTTCACTTAGCACAATGTTTTTGAGCTTCATCTGTGTTGCAGTGTATATAAGCATTTTATTCCTTTTTATGGCCCAACAATATTCCATTGTATGGATATATGACATTTTCTTTATCCATCCATCAGTTGATGAAAATTTGGGTTGTTTCTATTCTTGGCTATTATGAATAATGCTGCTATAAATAGTCATATGCAAATTTTATATGGACTTATGTTTTCCATTTTTTGGTTATACATATATTTATATACCTAGCAGTGGAATTGCCGAGTCATATATTAACTCTATATTTAATATTTTGAGAAACTGCCAAACTGTTTTCCAAAGTGACTGTGACATTTGACAATCCCATCAACCATATATGAGGGTTCCAGTTTCTCTACATCCTCATCCCCCATACTTACTGTCTTTCCTTTTGATTCTAGCTGTTCTAGTGGATGCGAAGTGGTATCTCATTGTAGTTCTGATGTGTATTTCCTGATGATTAATGATGTTGAGCATCGTTTCACATGCTTATTGACCATTTTTATGCAGTATTTGGAGGAATGTTCATTCAAATCTTTTGCCTGATGGAGCTGGGGAAATGTAATTTGTCTTTTTAAATTGTAAGAGTTCTTCATATATTCTAGATACAAATCTCTTATTAGAGATATGATTATAAATATTTTCCCCATTCTATAGGGTGTCCCAAAAGTCTCCATACAAAGGAAGCATTTTGTAATGAATATTTTGTAAATAAAGGTACACTTAGCTACAATTTCCCATTTCCCCTATGTATGGCAACTTCTGGGACACCCTGTATAAGTTGTCTTTTCACTTAAATTGATGTGAATTGGTAAATATTAATATTTTTATTTTCATGTTTCCACAAAACTTCAATTTTCAAAATTGTCTCAGTATTATCTGCTGAGTAAATCGCAAGCCAGACAGCATTGAAGTAAACAATGCTATGTGCACGTAGTATTCCATTTATCAGAAACTATCAAATTGTTCACAAGAACAGACTTCCCAAGGTCATCTAGATGAGCCTCTCAGCTAGTTAAGAAAATTTAGTTTCGATAAAGCAGAGAAGCCTTCATGCCTAATTAGAGTTTGAATTTCATAATGGAAAGCATTAAAAAACCATTCCTGTATTTATTTTCAAACCGCCAATTGGTTTATTCAAAAGCATTTGGATTTCTGTTTAACCTGACTTCTTCCTTTTTCCTCTTCCTTCCTTTTCCTCTCCTCTCCCCTTCCTGCTTTCTGTTTCTATTTCAGATTGAAAATGGCTCAGGAATCAGTCAGCAAGTTGACATCAGAGAAGAAAGTGGAGACAAAAAAAATCAATCCCACTGCTAGTCTGGTGAGATGCATTTTTCAGCATAACCTACATATTTTTCATTATAACCGACGTGCACCCAGGAGTATGTCTGAATTTAAAGGATAAAACTCAGAGATGAAACGTAGTATCCAGATTCTCAGTTCCCATCCCGGAGTAGCACATGGTGAAAGAGTATGTGGGGGGGGCGCGGGCAACACAGAGCTTCCTGTGTCTTTCCCGCAAGCTCAACAAAGGTCCTTTCTGATCAACCAAATTCAGTCACTTGCCATTTCACATCTTTCCACACCCCAGCCACACCACAGTCCCCCTTATCTCAAAGTATTTTTTCCTGAAATGTTTAAGTATATTCACTCTCATCAGTCCCTTTTTGCCATTAAAGAAAGGGCCAGGGATTATCCTGTGTTGATAGTTGGGAAAATTGAGATGCAGAAAGACACAGCCTACTCAGGGTCACTTGGCAAGTGGATGACAAAAACCAGGACCCAATTCAGGGTCTCCTGACATTTCTGCATTTGCTAGAAACCAAACCTCCTGTGTATTCCTAGGTTTGAGAGAAAGTTGTCTTCTGAAGTCCAGCTTTCAGTAGGGAGCACAGTAAATGTCCACATAGATGTCACAGACAATAGTCAGAATGGCTGAATGGCTAGGAACCTGGGATGTTGGGGATGAAACTGTCTGAGTTCAAATCCAAGCACTGCCACTTAATAGTTGTAAAACCTTAATAAAGTTACTTTGTTTCTTTCTCAAGTGAAAAGAGGAAAATAATATTACTTTTGCTTTAGGTTTATTTTGAGGAAACTATAAAAAACATGTAAAGTGCGTAGCACATAATAACAGCTCAATAAATATTAGCGATTTTTCTTGTTACTATGAATTCCAGCAGCTGTGATGGACCCTGCAATGGGGAACAGCAATGAGTGGTCAGAGGGAGCATCACTCTCCTCACCTGCATTTTCCAACCCTCCCTTCTAGGGGCCCTGATGTCCCACAACTACTTATTTTATGCTTTCAGATTACAAGTACTTTTGCTTGGCTGCTTTAAATCTTTTGAAGATCTAAATGGGGTCTAAATTATAAAGCGAGATTATTTCTGTTGATTGACCATGGTGTTCTCATACCAACCCCATCAGCACCTAATGAATGCTGCATATGATTGATGAATGAGAAATGGGGAAGTCAGGGCCATGGAGCTTGGTCAGGGGAAGCCGTGGTGAAGGCACATGGCCCTGCCTGAACGGACATAGCCTGTGTGCTCATTTCATGGTGCATTCATTATACTCATTTGGATGATTTTCAGTGACAGTGGGCTCAACCCTGATATGTATCTTCCTTCTTCATCAGCCTCTACCACCTTCTCCAGGCCTTTGATTTGGGCCTCTATCCTGACTTTTACAACCAAACCTATTCTCGCAAGGCAGAGAGAATGGGACCACCCTGCAGACAAAGGGGAGACAGTGGGTTTACTGTGGTGTCTTTTCTAGGTTAACCTCCACTGTGAGCAAGCCCCCATTGTGATCCTCAAATTGTTAGGGTTCATTATTATTATTATTATTATTATTATTTGTCTCTTTGTGTGGGTGGTGGGTAGAAATTAGAAAAGAGCTTGTAAACTGATTCCTGAGTCAATTTGACAAGTCAAGGATGGGGTCCAAACTCAGGATGGAAGTCTAAAAATCATCAACTTAGGCATATAGCTAGGCCTATTTAGTAATTCACTTCAACATCATGTCATAGATCACAAGCAGCCCTTCTCAAAGGGCCTCTCTCTGTATCTGCTCTTTGCAAAACAGTGTACTTTTCCCTTTTTAGCCTTCCTCTAGGAGCAGACGCACTCCTCCTTGCCATACTTCATATGTTTACTTCTCTAGCGTTACAGAAAGAGCGAGAGTCCATGTTTCTGTTTGGTATACTCTGGTTTATTTTTACATCTTCTCAGGAGACTTCCATGCCTTCCCCTTCAGAAGGGTGTACCTCAGGAGTAACCTCAATACCCACGGCAAAATGGATCTGCCATTCTGCAGAGACTCAATCTGCTTATCCTTCATATTACACAGCTTTTGTTCAGTTCTGCCAAGTTGATCATTTGCAGATACAGTCAACTTGGAAACAGTGATTTTTTTTCTACATCTGGACTCCCCAAAAACTATTTCTTGAGCATTCCCTAATTCCATCAGTGGGCCAAGAGTGGGGATGGGAGAGGTCTTTGAGTAATACTACAAAGTGAGGGTCCTTGTCACAAAAGAAAAACAGAACAGAGCAGCCTGGCATGGTAAAGATCAGTGTTGTTGATGGATGTGGTTAGTTGATTGGCTGGTTGTTGGTTTTTTTGTTTTGGGGGAAGTGTAAGAGGGTGATAGGTTGGGAGGGGCAGGTAACTAAGGACTTAGGAAAAGAGGGATAGAGACAGTCTCATTTCTGAGGTGTTTGCTACAATTCTACTCAGCATTCTAGACCAAAATTTGAAAAATTTGTTAAAATTTGAGAAATGAAAAATGATAGAAACGATAATAAATTCATTTTTCCATCAACAGAAAGAAAGACTGCGCCAGAAGGAAGCCAGTGTGACCACCAGCTAAGATGGAGACACATGGAAATGAGGATGGTGGAGATGCAGGACTTCGCACGCTCCTTCGTGACACCAGCCCTGCAGGAAGCTCTTGAAAGACACGTTACTAAATGTTTGCTTTACTCACCTCTTTCTGAGGTCATCTGCAGAGAGCGCTCCGTGCCTTCTTTAAGAAGTCCCTTATTAAGCCACAGAAACAATGAAAAGCTATTTAAGGGAACATTGCAGAGCATTTGATAATTGTTTCTTATAGAGGTCCAAAGTCCACTCTATTATAAGACTAGAAGAAATACCAAGATTTTCCAATTTTTTTTTTTTAAAGCTGAGATTTCAAGCTTTGTAACCCAAGCTTGATACATGTCACCTTGTAATGGAAGAAGAGAAGGATCTTTTATGACAGTTACCTTGGGAGTGTTGAAGCCTTGATCTTTACACACTGCTGCTTTGATTATTGATCTTAATTTTGATCATGTTGCAGCAAGATCCTATAGCATCTTTCTCACCAAAAATGTTGCAACTTTACCAAAACTGTTTTTGAAGAAGTCCAAGACTACGTATTTCCCAGAATAGAAAAATGATTTTGTTATTGCTGTTGTTCATGTAATGGAAAGAAGAAAAAATGGAATTATACGTGGGTGGAGAGGGGAATAAACAGCCGTAAACTTCATCTTGGAGAACAAGTTATGATGCAGGGAGTTATCAGTCATTAAGAGAATCCCATTCTTTTGTTTTTATATCAGTTCATTGATATCAGTTCATTGCTGGTTTCCTGGGCCAGAGATTCTATACCTCAACTCCCAGAAGAAACTGTAATCCTTAAGCAGCCTTGGGGTCAGAGTACCTGCTTGGACATGTGATACCTTTCACGTTTCAAACCATTTGTGAATGGGCAATGCCATGTTGATACGCAGCTGAGTTCTACATTATCTTCTGTGTGTATGGCTGGACCTCTCCTACCACCTCCAGCAAGCAGTTTCCAGACAGGAGAGCAAATGCAACGCACAGCTTTCTATCATGACTGGCTGACAGGGTGAAACAGAAATCTTTGATGTTAAAAAACTGTAGGGCAGGAAAGAAAGTTCTTTACATCAAAATGAAAAGATGTTGATTACATTAATACTAAACTTCGACTGGAAGACCATGCATAGATAGCTTTTTCTGACCCTGGCCCTCAAGTCACAGACAAAAACCACCTTGGACCTCTCTAGGACATTTTTGCCCTTCAGTGGCCACTCTTTGAATCTGTCTTATGAGGCGAGAGAAAAGAGAGCTGAAGCTGGATTGAGAATAGGATCAAAGACGGTCATTTTAGGCCTTGGAGGAAGAGAGGCCCAAACTTTTCTCCTACAATTGGTGAAAGACGGTCTAGAGATGAACAAGAATCTTAAATTCCTTCCTGATCCAGCTGCCACATGTGGCCTTCCCCTTGACCTGCATCTTCAGAACCCTTGAACTTGCCAGGTACCTGAGTGTCTTCCCAGGATATGCCTGCCAGTCGTCAGCCCTCTCAGGGACACTCCTATAATAGATTCAGCTAATGAAAGCAGCATCATATCCTCATATAATGGCAGCCTTAGGAATCAAGAATGCATAGGCAGGATCAAATCAAGTCACAGAAGCCATACACATGCAGGTGCTAACCACCTTTCCTGATGGTTCAAAAGAAAGGAATACGGTAACATGGTTGGACTTTTTTTTTAATTGAAAATAAAGGAATGAGACAAGCAAAATAGAAAAGCTGAATAAGAAACACAACTGAAAAGGCTTGAAGTTGATCATGAGCAGGAAGCTTTTCATACTGCTTTCTTATATCATTTCTCTTCATTTTCGCTTAACCGTGAAGAAAGCCAGGGGAATTCATCAATTTAAAACAAATTCCACTTATCGCCACCCTGTGCTCCATGACATTCCTTCTAGTGTTATCATGCAGAAGAAAAGTGCCAGCTTTGCACATGCCATGGAAATCAGCTCTGAGTTCAGTGAGGCCAACAGAATTCTGAAATTTTTTGGATCTTTCTGGATCCTTATAGACTTGATGGGAGAGAGTAGCAGGAGGCTTTCAGTGGAGTCACTGCAGTCCACTTCAGGTCTCTAAGTAGGATGCTCACAGAAATCCCTGAAGGTAAGCAGGACTGTCACTGTGGGCCATATCACCCTTCAGGGACACCCTGTCAAGGAACCAAGGCTGAAGAATAATGAGTGGAAACATTTGAGAGTTAGACAAATGCAGCCCACTGTGGATTTCATCCTAGTGAATGGACTAAAACTTTGCAGTAAATGCTTATTTCTAAAGAGCAAGGTTTTCTGTCTCTGTTGGGGAAATCTAGTGGTTGTGTCACACTAGTGAAATGTATCACATCAGTGTTTTCAGACACCATAGCAGAATCTCTATTGTTCTCACCCAGTTTGAACCCTGTCTGAGATGCCCCCTCCCAAGTCCATCGAAGTACCACATTGTTGACACAGCCTTCATTGCTAACTCAAGCTGATGCTCTGCAAAGGTTAATGAGAATTTTCTCAAGGCAGTCCACAATACAATAATCTGGAGGCCTTTCAAATGATCCCTCTAAAAGACAGTTGAGATTGTGTTCAACACAACAGGTGTGTCTGAACTTTTCATTGGAGAAGAGGTGGTTGGGATACCACTTGACAGCTTGAGCATTTCAGACAAGCAGGCTACAAGTGGCTGTTCTAGGCACAGCCCTCCCTGAACTAGAAAGGAGAGTGGGCTTCTAGTTCAGCAAGAGAGTGCTACCCTGTGTTTAACCAGACCTGCACACCTGACATACTAGTAGGACTCTAAGCAACCTTAACTTATGAACAACTTTGTCTCTCCCCAGCCATGATTCATTAAATAAGAGCATGGTTTGACAGCAGTTCAGATTCTTGCATGAGCAATTGGCAGTAATCATTAAGCACACAAGTATATCATATATTATACTAAAACATTATATAGACATGTTAGGTAAAAAGCATCAGGCCTGTGAGGTGTCAAAAATCAGATTAGAAGCTGTGCTGTGTATGGCTTTTAACTCAAAAAGAGGCAGCTTACTGGGGAAAAAATAGGAAAAAAGTATGGCCACACAGAAATGGATACATATGATGATGGTGGGGACCCAGAGGTCACAGGGGATGGCCCTGCTGCCCAACAGTTGCTTTTTGAGTCTTTAATTTGATGTCAGTGATGCCTTCCACATTGCAACTAGCCAGGAAGTATGGAGAAAGATTTTCTGAAATCTGAGTAGTAGAGTAAGGAAACCCAGTGATGCTATTACATCTTTAATGTTCTAGCTGAAAACAAATTGCCAGTACGGCTGTGGAATTGAATGTCAGATGGGATGCTGGTCTCTCCTTTTCCAGGAAGGACAGTAGAAGCTGCAAACCTGCTAAGCCTCCTTTGGACACCTCCTGTTTTCCTAAGTAACATAAGGATAGGCATTTCCTAAATGAAAAGTTCATATACTGCTAATAAAGAAACTGGAAAAACTGAAGGAAGGAATCAAACATGGTGATACTAAATACTTCCAGCAATATAAAGAAGTCATCAGTATGTTTTTTTTTTTCCAATCAGATGTAGCAAAAGCGATATAAGTGTATTTTTGGTAAAGATTTGTCCATTGGCCTAAGCTTTCCCATCTCTCTATAGATTATGCTGCCCGCAATAGGGAAGTTTTCATTTCAATTGCATTCTTCCTTTCTTGAAAGCTATATGTTCTCATTTCTATTTCTACTTCTCCCTTGCCTGGCATTACTGATGCAGAACGTTGCACACAGCAGCACAGTAAACTGCAGCTGGTCGGTGCTTGAAGGGGAGTTGGCAGCGCAGACATGCAGGCTCTTTCCCAGTCACCAGACTGTAGCATTGGCAGAGGAACCTCTTCATTCCCTGACATCCTAAATCAGTCTATTTTGTAGTACTTGCCCCCTCACCCCTAAATAACAAAGATAAAATCAATTTAGAGATTTACGTGGGAAGGGAAGAAGTCCAAAAAATGTAGCCCCCCCCAAAAAAAAATCTGGTCCAGATATTAAATATTTTATTTGTAAAGTAGTTTAAATTATTTTTAAAAATTGCTAACAAGAGATATCTCTTGGATTTGAGCTTTATTTTTCTTTGCTCCTTCCTGTTCTAATGAGAAAAAAATGACAAAAGGGGAATGGGAAAGGAAAAGCTTCAGTAGATTTGGTCATTTACAAATTGGTTTATAAGTTCCCAAATCACAGGAAAAAAAAAAGGACATACTATGAAATGCAACGTTGTACAAGTCCTAAGCACATAACAATTTGAACAGCTGTGACGGCTGATGGCCACGGACAAAGTAAGAGCTGCCTACTGCCCGCTGAAGATTTCAGCCTAAACCAGGCAATTTTTAGAATATGGATTTAAAAGAGCCAAGGATTGTCCCAAATAGCTTATTTTTTGAAAAAGCTGCATATATGAAGAAGCGGTATGATATAGTAGGAGAGATGCTAAACTATTAAAATTTCCTTAGTCTGGGTCCTCGAGCAGTTTTTAAGTGAGTGGACCAGCCAGAAGACCATGAGTACCATATTTCATATATTAACTATTTTACCTTTAGGAACCCTGCAACTGGAGAAAGTGGACTGAACACAGGAATGAACTTTCAGTCATTAATGTCTGCTACTTTGTCCTCATGAGGAAACCTGCTATACAGATGAAACAAGTCTATCTGGCCAAGCTAATAGGATATAAAAAGAATGGATAATTTTTAGCCTTTCCAAAATGCAAATAACTTGTTGGATGTATTTCCATTTTCCAGCTGTAGAGAGAAACAAACCAGCTGCTTGGAAACTATTATTGGTACAGAAGTGGCTTATAGAAAAGCACCTTCAGAAACCAGACTCGGGAGATCTTTCTCCTTTAGACTTACACAGTAGTATTCATAACCGAATTAGCAATTGAATCCAGGCGTAACTAGGCTCAGCTATACTTGACTAGGAGTCCCATTTTGTGTCATGTCTGCACACCTGTCAGCTATTGACACCTTT